AGAATAGAATAGAATAGAATAGAATAGAATAGAATAGAATAGAATAGCTTTATTGGCCAAGTGTGATTGGACACACAAGGAATTTGTCTTGGTGTAAATACTCTCAGTATACATAAAGAAAAGGTACATTCGTTAAGAATCAAGAATCATAACATACAAAACTTAATGATAGTCATAGGGTACAATCAACAATCAAATCATACTAGGAGTGGGAAGGGATGGGTGATAAGGAGTGGTGAGAAGATTAACAGTCATAGTAGTGTACACTTTGTAAATAGTTGAACAGTGTTGAGGAAATTATTTGTTTAGCTGAGTGATGGCTTTCGGGGGAAAAACTGTTCCTGTGTCTAGTTGTTCTGGTGTGCAGTGCTCTATAGCGTCGTTTTGAGGGAAGGAGTTGAAACAGTTTATGTCTGGGATGTGAGGGGTCTGTAAATATTTTCATAGCCCTCTTTTTGACTCGTGTAGTATACAGGTCCTCAACTGAAGGCAGGTGGGTAGTAATCGTTTTTTTCTGCAGTCCTAATTATCCTCTGTGTCTGTCCTGTTGGGTTGCAGAACCAAACCAGATAGTTATAGAGGTGCAGATGACAGACTCAATCATTCCTCTGTAGAACTGTATCAGCAGCTCCTTGGGCAGTTTGAGCTTTCTGAGTTGGCACAGAAAGAACATTCTTTGTTGTGCTTTTTTGATGATGTTTTTGATGTTAGGTGTCCATTTTAGGTCATGTGATATAGTAGAACCTAGAAATTTGAAGGTCTCTACTGTTGATACTGTGTTGTCTAGTATTGTAAGAGGTGGTAGTATAGGAGGGTTTCTTCTAAAGTCTACCACTATTTCTACAGTTTTGAGTGTGTTCAGTTCCAGATTGTTCTGGTTACACCACGAGGCAAGTTGTATAACCTCCTGTCTGTATGCGGATTCATTGTTGTCTCGAATGAGACCAATCACTGTTGTGTCATCAGCAAACTTCAGTATTTTAACAGATGGATTGTTTGAGATGCAGTCATTGGTATATAGGAGAAGAGAAGTGGAGATAGCACACACCATTTCCTTATTATTCCCAGAAACTATATGTAATCCCCGAGAACCAAGCTCAACTCATTTTGTATTTCCAAAAGTCCTTGGTAATATCACTTTGTATCACATTCCAAATCTTTATTATGTTCTTGGACCAGCCTTTACAATAAAAGACAACAGTAAAAGGAGAAATGGCTTAATACAGCAATTTGCTGGTAGGGAAGGGAAAAAATAGCAGAAGAATAAAACAGCATGTCTAATTAAAAATGTTTGTGTAGTTGTGTAACTTGATAAAAAATATTTGGCCCACTGGTATATGAGCATAGAGTTAGCGTCCCAATAACAAATATAAAATTTATCCGCATGGCCTTCTTATTTGGATTATTATATGCTTAAGAAGACAACAGGACCAGTTAGTTAAAAAAAAAAAAAAATCTGGAATTTTTGTTCAAGAGGCAAAGCTTTAGAAAATTACCGTAATAGTAAAAGGAAGCCCAGGTTAACTGATTGCTGCCTATCCATACTAAAGGGGCCATTTAGAAATCATTGCTTATCAGGAAATTACTCCAGCTTTGTCTACCCAAAACCTTCCAGTTGACCTTGATTAGTGAGTGGGAAGAAGAACTCAGGCAGGATTGTTTTGCAGAAGGCAGAACAGGCGTACACAAAATGGTGGATATGCCCTTTTTTTTTTCTTTTGGAGCAGGAGGAGAATGCCATTCAGCCAAGGTCCTATGTTAAGATCACACCTATAATTTTAGCCCTTTCTGATGTACTTTTCTTTCTTTTCAGTGCTTAAAAGATATCTACATGTTTATAATATTGCCTTTCCAGTGTTAATATTAATCTCCCTTTTCCCACTTAAATTTTCTCTATATGGTTTTCCCACTTAAATTTTCCCTTATATGGTTTAGACTCACAGTCTTCAGTCAGAAATAACAGAATGGAGACTGTAACAAAAAATACCAGGCAGGAGATGGGTAGGTCAAAAATTAGGCGGCCAATTTTAACAGAATTAAAGATACATCACCGACATCTGCCTAAAAAGAAAATAAAAATAGTAAGCCCTAAAGTTTGAGGCCTAAAGAGCAATTTGTGAATGTTCTCCCACCCACTTTTAAAGACATCAGAAAAAAGGCAGATTCTATCTGAGGAAAAAAAGTGATCGAGAAATCTTGACAGGATAACGAAAATAAGCACATATAATAGAAAAGCAATATTCTGCCTAGCTAAATATCAGATTAATCCTACAAACCTGTGGTAGCTGAAAGTGTGTGTGTGTGTGTGTGTGTTTGATTCATTCTATGTCAACCCAAAGCTTCACCAAACTCTTCAGAAAACATGCAGTCATATTTTATGATATTACAGATATCTTGCTTAGAAAATGTCTTAGAAAAGACTTGGTAGTGATGACTTGATGACTTTATTATCCTTATCACTATGTAAGTGATAATTGCAAGATGGTCTACATGGAGATGCCTCTGAAGATCAAGAAATTTTGCTGGAAATGCCACAGCCAGGAGATTAACAGAGGAGAGAGCTGTTCTAGAGAATCATCTATTTTGCCATCTTTGCACTGGCTGCCAATGGGCTTCTGGGTCAAATCCAAAGTCCTATTCAATACCTACACAACTCCTTGTGGTAGTGCAGCTCCAGAGTACATCAGGACCACTTTATTCAGCACAATCCCCCTCCCTTCCAGGAAGAGGGTTGATGGATTTTTTTTATTGCAATCTTTTTGTGTTATACACCACCCTAAGTCTTGTGAGAGGGCAGTACTACCGTAGCAATAAAGAGTAAGGATAGTAATAAAAAAGAAATAGGTGTATTGATAATTAACAGGAAAATGACAGTCCTAGACCTGAAAATGATGTTTTCTAGTACTGAGAGGACAAATACACCTGATTTGACAAAGTATTTTATTTGTTTTTCCTTGGTAGCAGAGAAGAATCTGGTAAGTTAACTTTTCTCCACACCCCTCTATTTCACAAACCTAGCATACAAATTTCACTATTTCTGGATAAAAATCAATGTCTCCTTATTGCTAAAGTCATCTTGGATGTAACATGGCTCCAGTGTAGATTGACTAAAGATAGTACCTAGTTAATGACCTAGACTAGGCAAAAAATAAAATAAAAATAAACCTCATTCCCTAGTACATTTCCCCTCCCCCTTGTTTTTTCTTTCTTTCAAACATTGACCAATTTCCCTAAATCATCCACTTCACCATAATCCAAGTCATCCTCTGATTTTGAAACTGGTTAATCAATCATCAGATTTTATTCTAGTCACAACAGGACCTGAAAGAAAACCTAGTATGAGTTCAGCATAAGTAGTGCTTAGATGAGAGACCATTAGGCTGCAGGCTAGTCCATGAAGTTGGGGGGAAAAAACCTTTCCAGAAGAAGACAGTGGCAATCCACTTCTGTATTGTTAGGCAGAGAGAGACCCAGGATTCAAGCTCAACTTAACAGAGGCTTTGATTGGATTCATTGCAGATTTACCTAGCTACATAAATATTTATTTTAGGCTCTCTGTCTGAAAGCCTTGTGTTCTTATGTTGGTCAATAACCGTACATCAGCCAAATGGATTTCAAACAAAACCGCCTCCCAACCAAATGCAATTTTCTCATCATCTTATGGATGAAACAGGAGATTGATCTGCCTGTCATTTTACTGAATTAGATTCTTGTGGCGAATGAAAAACAGGAAGCATGTATTCCTTCGCCTCCGCAAATCCTGAAGTTTCACTCCAGTCTGAACAGATCAATCAAACAATGTCTGTCTGTCCCTCCCTCCCTCTCCTAGCCCCAGAGTAAATAGGTTTCTAAAAAGCATTAAAAAAAAAGGCCTCGCAGCAGCCTACGCATTTGGAGAACTGACATTTGATCCCGCGCCAAAAGAGGGGAAAATCTTTGAGCGCCGGGGTGTTTTCAGACTGCCCTATAATGGGAGGTCTAAGCAAAAAACAAAGGTCCCGCACAGCACAGAGGAAGCCCCCCCCCCCCCCAACCCCCCCCCCCCCCCCGAGAAAGAGGGCGAGGGACATTGTGAAAAGGCAGCGCCCGAAGTTTGAAGCGCCTTGAAACTCCCTCTCCTGCATAGTTTCTGCCTCATGCGCGCAGTTCACTCTGGATGGCAAAGGCAGCGCACCGCCGGCCGGAGGACAAGGCGAGGCAGGGCGCGCGTTTCCAAAAGGCGGCGGCTGTAAAAACCCTCAAGGGGGGAATTCCCAAAGCAGCGCCTCAGCGCCGCCCCCTCCTTCTCTTACCGTCCGTTCCCAAGGAAGGTAACGCGGCCGCCAGGAGAAAGCAGCTGAGAAAGCAGGCGGAGTAGGAAGCGGGCGAAGGGGCGCCCATGGCCGGGCAAGGTTGCTCCGCCCGGCCCACTCGCGTCGCTCGGGGGTTGGGGCCGCGCAAACGCCGCCCACCCTTTGGGCCCTGGGCCAGGGCGGGGAAGGGAGGAAAGCGGAGTTCTCCTTCGGGCTGCCGTCTCTGTCACGAGCTTGCGGGGTTCAGGAGAAAACGTCCTCCGTGCTCCTAGCGCTTTCCCTTCAGGCCGAAGCAGCTACGAGGCAGACGTTCCACTGGTGCGGTGCTTCCCAAAGTCTGCCATGAATTTTTTTATTTTTATTTTTTTGCGCGTCATTCTGGACTTTCAGCGGCACAAGCGCTTCGTCCGAAGAAACAGAAATCCTCCGGGTGAAGTTAACAGACTTTTTTTTTTTTTAGATTTAATATTTTTAATAATTAAATTAGCCATTCCATAAAACGCACCATTGCAAATTACAATAAAGAGAATACATTTTGCCTCCTTTAAAACCTACTATATACATTGCTTGGATGATGGATCCACAAATTCATTACAGGGAACAAACCTTCAAAACAAGCCTTAAAACACTTTAGCCAAAGGTAGAAGATTCAGCACACTTTAGAAGTGCGTAAATGTCAGGGCCAACCACCAAAATGCCAAGTGGGAAACACCTACAGACTTTTGAAAAGATTTTTTTTGTAAATCCCGCCTTTATTATTTTTTATAAATAACACACAAAGTGAGGAACATACCTAATACTCCCCCGAACTCTGAAGGGCACTGACTTTTTAGCCTGCTGCAGTGCATTTCCCACAGCAGCCGTGGAGGAAGGATATTTAAAAAGCCCCTAAGAGCCGAGGCTGTCCCTGTGGACAAGGAGCTGCTGAAACTATAGCTTATGCCCTGCTATACTGAATCTTCTATAAGGACTCAGGCATTCATTTCATAACACCTCACCTGATACAATATCTGGGAAAGCCAATCTCACATGTACAATTGCTGTTATTGGAGGAGTCTGATGTAGGTGTTTTTAAAAATGTTGCTGAATTTTGATATACGGTCAGCAAAATTAGGCAGACTTTGACTGCCCACTAATTGTCATATACTATCCTGCCTTTTTATTTTTATTTTTTTTATTTAAATTTTTTATTGATTTTTAAGAACAAACAAAAACAAACAAAACATAAAACATAAAAACATAAAACATCTTTTTTGAAAGCAGCTTGATCCCGGGTTACATCTCTTTGTACAGACACACATTCAAATTCATGTTCATTTTATATACCATTCCATATCTTATTACCATTCTACATTTTCTATATAGCTTCTCCCCTTTTTTAACTTTCTTAATTTTATTTTATTTATTTCATCTCAATTCAGATCATTATACTTATATTCTTTGTCTGTCCTGTTTCCAGCTATCTATTATCTTTTCTCATTAAACAAAATTTCTCCTGTAATCACTGATTGGAGTATGACGCCTTTATATCTTTCCCCTAAATTTATAACACTTAGTATAATACATAACTTCCATTCGGATTCTGCTTAGTACATTCTAAAGTTACACACTATATTTTAAAAAGAGAAAAAATATATAAATATATAATATAATTAAAACAACAATCCATACCAATTCAAATCTATTGTTAATATTAGTATTCATTTAGATCTTAAACATTTTACACATTACTTTTCAAATAAGTATCATACTTCTATGGGAATGCTTATAAACTTTCCATAGTTACTTCCCCCCCACTTCAGTCATATTTTAAAACATTATATCATTAAAATGTTCCCATTCCTTCCTAGTTCAATTCTCTCATTTATTTCATTTCATTTATTTTGTTCACAAAAGTTTCACTGAATTACACAAGTATTTTATCCCACTTTTTAATCATATGTTGTTTCCAATTTTCTAACATTATTTCTAATACAAATATAACAATACAATCTTATGTACCTTTGCAGAATCACTTTTTCAGTTAAATTTTTACCCATTATCTCTAAATAAGTCCTGTTTCTTTACATCTTGCTCCACACCTTTGTAGCTTCTCTTCCCTTCCTTCCTCCCTTGCTTCTTCTCTCTGCCCTTTTTACCCCCTTGTCTCTCCACCTCCATTTCCCTCTTCTGTGTTCCCCTTTTCTGTTGCTTTCTAACATTATATTCACTTTTCACCTTATTTTTCCCTTTTTTGGTTGTTTTTTTGGGGTCTTAAAGTCTCCATTCTCTTTCCCCCCTTTCCCCCTTCTTCCCTAAGTAAAGTTACTTGTTTGTCAAAGATGGCTTCTTCTTTGTCCCAATCTTCTTGTTGCACAGTCTTTTTTTGTAGTTTCTCATAGGTACAAATCGCCATTTCTAAGAATTGAAAAACGGAGCCAAGAGAGCCCTTCCCTTCTTGTTCCTCTTCTTTATATTTTTTAAATTCCATTTTCAGTTCATCCACAAGTGATGCCATTGTAAAAAAAAATTCAAACAACCACCCAAGTGTTTTTAGTCATTCAAATATAATTTCCAAAAGTCCCAAAGTCACCAAGCAATCCAAATACACACAAGCTGTTTCTTTTAACACTTTCTTCTTTTTTCACTTTCTCTTCCTGGGGTTACTATTTAGTTACAAAGTTCCAGTTAAGATGTATCTTTTAGAAGTCTTGTTAGAATTTAATCAGATTCTTTTAAATTCCAGGCAGTCTCCTCCTTCCAAATCCTACTCTTATTCTTTTCCTCTCCCTTCCCACTTACAGCAAGAAAAAAATTTTTTTCTTTAATGTTCAGAAATCCTTACTGTTCCCTTGACATTTAATTATCCAGTTTAATTACCTCTTGATGCCAAAGCGGGTTTTTCCGATTTCTCATTCATCTCTGTTCGCTGTCAACATAAGGAAGGAGAGTGAAAGAAAAAAAAAACATTCCCTTTTCACTTTCATTTGCTGCTTCCGAATCTTCTTTGGGAGCGATGTATCTTTTTTAAAATTTAAATTCCAGGATACCTTGGTTGTTGCTTCTTGTCCCGGTCAGCCAAAACTTTCACTTCTTAACTTCCTCCTGCACTTTCTTTTCCGGATGAGTGCTTCTTTGAGGTGGCCATTTCTGACCGCCGCTCGTTCGCCTTCGGGAAAGGGAGTTTAGCCAGCTGGGGAGGAAAGATGCGGCTTCCCTCGACCCTGCTGGGATCTCCCCCCTCTTTGCCACCTCTACGGGGTGGCTTAGCCCCGAAACCAGACTGGCTTGGGACGCTCCAGCAGCGAGCCCAGGCAGAAACCGCGCACGATCGCAGATTCCTGCCTGCCGCCAAAGCCCTGCAAACCGGAAGTTCCTGCCTTTTTATTTTTTAATGCTTCATATTTGTAATGCTGCGGACACACCTGCAGACACACCGTGGACAACCCACAACCCGTTAGATGTCAAGGCCCTCTTCAAAAATGATGGACGAAGATCATTTATAATGCTAGTCTGTGACCATAATAAAAATATTGTTATTTATTACTTAATACTCCTTCTGCCCCCCTCCTCCCAATTTTCCCCACAACCACCACCACCTTGTGAGGTGATTTGGGCTGAGAGAAAGTGAGTGATTCAAAGTCATCTGGCTGGCTTTCATGGCTAAGGTGGGACTTCAATGCAGATTCTCCTGTTTTCTAGCCTGGTGCCTTAACCAGATGACACTGACCTTACTGGAAAGTCATTCTTTTACTCATCTTTTTTTTAAACTAGGTTGAGGGTGTTCTCGTCAGATCACTTTACTATTTCAAACTACTCCTTGAAGTCAAACTATACTAATGCCTGTTAGGTCTGGAGCACTTTTATCTATCATCTATCTATCTATCTATCTATCTATCTATCTATCATCTATCTATCTTCCCTCCTTCTCTCATTATTATCTCTCATCATCTCACAAAGTTCACATTTTTTAAAATTCTGAAATTACAATTATTAGGTATTTTTCTCTTAGATCTTGGAGAGATTTTAACCAGTACTTCAATTTACAGACACCTACAGTTTGACCAGCAGAGGGCATCCAACATTTTCCTGAATATAACTGAATATAGTTATTATAATAATTTAGCTATTTTTAATTGCCATTTTTTACATGAGCAGAAATTGTACTGCTGAAATCAACAGGACTGGAAAGTGCTTGAATATTTCATAGTGGCCCTGATCCAGATGTAATCATATTAAAAATGAAATACCAGTAATTCTTCACTAGTTTTGCATCTTGATCCCATTTACAAAGAATTAGAATAGAATAAAATTCTTTATTGGCCAAGTGTGACTGGACACCCAAGGAATTTGTCTTTGGTGCATATGCTCTCAGTGTACATAAAGAAAAAATAAAATACATTCATCAAGAATCATAAGATACAACACTTAGTGATAGTCATAGGTTACTAATAAGCAATCAAATCATACTAGGAAACAAAATATAAATTACACATTAAATGTAGTTTTTCTCTGAGACTAGCAAAAAGATTTGTTAAGGTATGACGACCCCAGCACCATCTGCTATGGATATGATGTATAAAGTACATCAATATATTTCTGTAGTCTAGAATATAATTGCAGAGGATGGTGGGGGAGAACCTAATTTTCTATTTATAAAGCATGCAGACATTTTCAAGTGAGAACATGGCAAGAGAGGAAACAGAACACTTTAGTCTCTTGATTCCTCCATTACTGGTTTCCTAATGAAGCACACTGGGTTTAGTCTTCTGAGCTGTCGGATTTGTGCTGGATCTCAGGGAATTTCTGTACTGGACTATGTAGAGAATGTGTAGAGATGCATGTATATTTGCCTTCATTTGTGAGGGGAAAAATGTGCCCACGCTTGAAATCACTAGTTTCTTCCACAATTGCAGAGGATTTAATGAAAATGTCATTCTGCCACTCTCACCTATTGTGGTCCCTTGATTTTGGATGTTATGATACTGAATACATTTTATTTACATGTAAATAAGACAGGAACAGAAGTTATACAGTACAATGCTTAGCTGTGGCAGCATTATACTGTGTTTCATGTCTGTTCCTGGTCATACTTAAATGACCATTTATAATAGAATTAAGGTTATGTAAAGGCCTTAAATATGAATCTCAAATAGAGCTCT